CCCCCCAACCCCCGAAGTTCACTTTTTTTATTGCAGATTCGGGGTCCTCTAGGGTAGAGGCTCGGCAGTTGGGCCTTGTGGGCCCGTTCAAAAAACAAAAAGAAAAACAAAAGACCATGTCGGGGAAGGCCATGCACGAAGTTGTTCACACACCAAAGCTCACTAGAAAGTATCTAACTACTATTGTGGCCAGTTTCAGGTTCTCGTTGTTTGTATTTGTTTTCTTTCTTTTTTTTGTTTCGGTGCCCTGCCAGGGAGTCATGGTGCAGCCCACGGGCTGCAGACATTTTGGGGAGGAGGGCACGCCCACACTACTACTTCACAAAATGTATGAACCCGCTTTCCCGCCCTAAGTTCAGTTTCGTTTTTTTTTCTGTTCTCTTCTTCTGTGGACCTGACACCTGTAACGCCCTCACTGAGGGCATACTCACACTACTACTTGGGGGTAGGTATCTACCTGGCATCACGTCCAAAGGGGTGTTCATTTTTTCTCTTTTTCTTTTTTGTGGATGTGAGCGAACGCCGTGGTTGTTTGTTTTTTGAAAGTCTGGCTGTGCCCCCCCCCCCCCCCCCCCCCCGCCCAGAAGAGTACCAGGTAAAAGACAAAACCAAACCCAGGCTTAAAACTCAGGCGCACAGTGAAAATCACGGTCAGCAAAACAGGCTCGGAAGTAGTATTGGTTTAAGATACACTGGTTAACTGTCTTGTGTGACCACTATCATACTATCTGCTTACCGCTACATCCCAGGAACGCCTTCCAAAGCCATCGTTGCTTTGTTCATAAGCCCATGCACACCTGGCAGCGGGCATTTCTTCGATCGTTGCTGCTGGTGTCGTTGCCGCCACATGCGACGCCTCTTGCACCCCTGTTGACATCTTCAGGATCTGATTTTCTTCAGCCTGCCCTGCAGAGCAGAACCTCTTGGCAGAGAACTTGGGTCGCATAGCCTGGTCAATTGCCATTCTACTAGCTTCAGTACTCTTCCCAAATGTCAATCTTCCATTGGCAGCGTCCCCAATTGCCTGTGCATCTCGACACGCAGCTTTGTCCTTTGCAGTCCCAATTTCTTGGCAACCTGTGACCTTTTCTCCATCTGAGCCCTCGACCTTTCCACCATGGACTAGTCCTCCTGTTTGTTCCAATTCTGTTTGCTCTGAGGCCCTTCCTAACATCACCGGAGCTTCTCTCCTTGATGGAACAGAGGTAGTGTTCGTACTGTCCACCTCCTTTGCAGTTGCTTGTACAGCACTTCCTGTCGAGTTATTATGTCTCTCCTCCGGAGCAAGATTTATGCCTGTTACTGCTTGCGACTCATCCTTGGAACACCCCGAGCATCCGCAATGGGGGCAACTCTCCTTGGGAGCAGACACATTGATCCCATCCATTCCCCGAGGAGACGTTGGAATAGAGGCCCCTTGGAAACCTTCTCTTGTTGTCTGAATAGTTGAAAGTGCTGACAACTGCAATATAGTAATATGTTGACCACTCTGCTTCTGTGTCACAGGCTGCCTTTGCATTGCAGTCATTTGTGTTGACAGCTCTGCAGGTTGCGCTCCTGGCGGCTTCATTGCGGCATTGGCCTGGATATCTTCAGACACTGATCCCAACCTTTCAGCGGGCGCAGAGCTTTGGCCGCTTACTTGCACATCTGATAAATAAGATACCCAAGCATACCTGCAGAATCACAACACTGATGTTCTGAGGTCACATAGCTGGCAAATAGAGAACACTCTCCTTTTTTTTCCTTAAAAAAAAAAAAGCCCAGGCTGTTCTAGAGGTGGGATACCAGACAGATGGAAGTCACCCACAGTACTTGGCTCCTCAGTTGTCCCGATGAACCCCTCTGAAGACCCCACCCACCCTTCCTCTCATCTTTTTGCCCTGGCGCACCCCCACCCCCACTGTCCTACCCTAGTGTTAACCGCCCAGGACCATCACCCATCACCATCTTGGCGGGGTGACCTGACCAGACAGTGGTTGCAGGCACCCGGGCTACGCAGAGACCCCTACCCGTTGGAAACAGTCAATAACGGAGGAGTTGAGAATTCTTCTCACGGTGGAGGGGAGGGCAGCATCATACAAAAGGTCTGACGCAATGCTCGAAACAACCAAGACCACCACGTTCCTCGAGCATTATCATATGGCAAAAGCAACATACAATGAGAAAACATACTCGACACTGCAAATGAGTGCTGCCCCACTGAGAAAGTGTTCCTCAATGACATCAAGGGTTGTCCAATCCAGGAATGAGGACGGCTCTCGCACTGAGAATGCAGCACAACAACTTCATTATGATAGTCTTGATCTTAGAGAAGTATTCTATGTACCCAGTCCATATGGCTTAACAGTATGCACATATGACTGTTGATGAAGAGATCAAACACTGATGGGATCAATGCAGAGATGATAATGTTAAGGGCTAACAATTCGGAAAAAAAAAGGGGAAAAAGTCCGAAAAAGTCGGAAAAACAGATTGCCTTCCCTAATGCCTGTGCAAAAATATGACTTAAGGGTCTTTGAGCTTTGGGAGGCAATTTTTATTTCTGTAATGACCCGTCAAAACACAGGCTGAGAACACTGCTGATTTCTGGCATTTGCCGTGCCTTGCTGAGATTCCCGCATTCTGCTGTGGTTTCCAAGTCTGTGTGAGTGCGTGTGCCTGCTGGTTTGCATGCCTGTCTGAGTGCTTGTCGGCTGAGTGTGTGTGTGACCCGCAAGCGTACTTGTTGGTTGAAAGGCCCCCCAGGGCCGGTACTTACCTGTGGACGTGACTTTGTGGGTTGCAGCGGGGGAAAACACTCAAGTAGCAGGTAGGCCGGTACCACTCAAGTAGTGGTAGAAGTGTCGGGTACTGGGGGCCGAGTAGAAGAAGACAACAAGTTGGCATTTTTAGAGGCCCAGTAGCGGTAGGTTAGAGGTAGGCCGGTACCAGTCCAAGTAGCCCGAGTCTAGGGCCTGTCCGGACGATAGCA